AATCGGCTCTTAAATTGCCGTCTTAACATCCCTGTCCTGGAATGTTGCAGCGTTATTGGAGATTCCACAGATCAAGTCATTAGATTATTCGAAGGCTTAGGGCACCTGGGTGGCTCAGTCAGTTAAGTGTCCAACTCTTGATTTCAGCTCAGGTCATGATTTCAGGGTCATAAGATCGAGACCCCACATCGGGTTCCATGCTTTGCATGGAGCCTGCTTAATATTCTCTCCCTCCCCCTCTGCCCCTCCCCTGCTCCCTCTCACTATCAAAAAAATAAATAAGTAAATAAATATCACTGGAAGGCATGCCATGGGTTGCTTTTAGTTCCTTCTACCCTAAAAGAGTCAAACTCTCAGGCACTTCTTACAATTTTCAGAAAAAAAGGTAAAAATATGACTGTCACAGAGTTATAAAAATGAACACATATTAAAGAATTTACTTAACTCTAATTAAGTAAAGGAACCAGGCAGATGTTATATTCAGCCAAAAGGAAGAATGAAAAGTGCACAAAATTAGATGGAAAAAATAATTTTAAAATGAATTGCAGTTAGAGATAAAACTGGTTAGGGGTGTGTGTGAGTAGTCAATTGGATCACTACCAGATTGGACAAAATTTATATACTTATCTGTTAATTACCTGTGGTTTAAAGATAGTTGTGGAATGGCTCCAAACCGGTACGAGGGCCAGAGTGTCTTAACTTGAAAAAGTGTGCTGTAGACAATGTACATTTTTCTGTTGAAACACTTTCTTCCATAGGACCCAGAATCTAGCTGACTATCCACTTGGGCCTCGCTTGTCACATTGTGTTTCTGTCTTGTTTTTGGTACAAGGAGATACGTATGATGGTTTTGAATAGAACAGAGGGGTCCCTTAAGTGTGAATTTATACCACCATCTTGAATGGAAACTGCATCTTGATTTTATTAACAGTAATAAAGATAATTAATCTAAAATATGGCAGAGCTCCAGAAAAAGTCTAATCTTGTTAATTGACCCCAACACATGCTCATTATATATCTTCTTTCTGTTAACGCCTGCGCCCATTTACTTGAAGGCTCAAACAAACCTCTCCCATATTAATGATTCCCTTTTGTCCTCTTCAAACTAGAGCTGTCTCCTCTTTCTCATAACCCATGTCTTCCTGCACCCTCTGCCTGTCAAAGATCAGGGGAGCTGGTATATCTTGAAGCTTGGATTCCAAGTTGTTCTAACTGCAAAGCCTGTGTTCTGTCCAGGAGACCATCACCTTGCAGGAAGATTTAAAGAAGAAATGGCTTTTGAGCTGGACCTTGAGGGAATGACAGGATTTGCTAGGCAGAAGTGGATAAAGAAGGCACTTTAATGATAAGTCCATGACTCTTGGCTTGTTTCACTGCGGCCTAAGTTCATGCTGTAAGAGAATAGTACGTGATAAAGCTGTGGAGGTGGGTTGGTCCACGCTGCCCTTGCTGAACTCATAAACTGTACCTTATACTTTGTTTCACTTAATCTTTATACCAGCTCTACAAGGTAGAGAATTCCCACCTAACCCTTGAGAAAACCAAAGCAGAAGTTAGCCCTGTGACTTCTGTGATCTCCCAGCTGTTAAGTGGCTGAATTGACTTTAGAATCCCAGTTTTTGCACATCCAGGGCCCCTGTTCTTTCTACTTTACATAGGCTGTTGAAGTCTAAGGAGTTTTCAGCAGGTTGCAAAGTGATTAGAATTATATTTAGGAAAAATACATACTGAAGAGAAGCCCGAGTCCTCTTTTGTCATGATACTGAGTGTCCTTTGAAGGCAGTAACCCTTGACCCAGCACTAAACACTTGGTATTCAAAATGATTTTGTGCAGAAACTTCACATAGTTCCCTGAAAGCCATGGAGGGTCCCCTAGAGCTCAGCTATTCAGACTCAGAGCGTAATCTTCACACCCTTACTTCAGACCTACTAGATCAGGAATCCCAGGGTGAAGTCCAGGAATCTGTGTTTTTAGCAAGCCCTATCTTCTTAACAACAGATGGTATTGGAATATTCAGGTGATTCTTTAAAAAAAATTTTTTTTTAACTCTCTTCCTTATTTTTTCCTTTACTCCTTCTTTCCTTTTTTCACTTTCATTTTTCCCGCCAACACTTTCTTTTTTATTACAATTTTAAAAACGTTTCTTTCTGAGAAAGAGAGAGACAGAGTGCGAGCGGGGGAGGGGCAGAGAGAGAGGGAGACACAGAACCCGAAGCAGGCTCCAGGCTCTGAGCTGTCAGCACAGAGCCCGATGCAGGTCTCGAACTCATGAACCGCGAGATCACGGTTAAGCAGCCGAAGTTGGATGCTTAACCAACTGAGCCACCCAGGCACCCGCTCTTTTTAAAAATTTTTAATGTTTATTTATTTTGAGAGCAAGTGAGCACACGAGCAGGGGAGGGGCAGAGAGAGGGAGACGGAGAATCCCAAGCAGGCTCCACCCTGTCAGCACAGAGCCAGACCGCAGGGCTCAATCTCACAAGCCGTGAAATCGTGACCTGAGCTGAAATAAAGAGTTGGATTCTTAACCCACTGAGCCACCCAGGCTCCCCTATTCAGGTGATTCTTAGAGGCATACACATGCTTGAGAAAGCCTTGGTATTTTTCTCTGGCTGCTCTGCCTTTCAGCATTTCCTAGGTGACAAGTGGTTGCCTCTAAAATGATTTCCTCCATAGTAGACCAGAAACTTGATCAGCACATTAAGTGATGATGGGTACTTTCTGATCAGGAATTATCACTGACATCTAGGAACCTGACTCATAGACTGTCTGGCTTTATACAGACCCTAGCATAAAATTTAGTATGTAAAAGTGGTCATCTATAGAAAAAAGTCTGGACAGATACATGCCAAATCACTGTTAGAAAATTATCCATGGCACTTGTGGAAGAATGGTAAGGTAGACTTTATTCAGGGAGACCACAGCAGTGGGGTTTTGCAGTGGGGGGAGAGATGGGCTCAAGTCTGAATACAACAAGGAAAAAAACGGGAATTTATTTCCAAGGAGCAAGGTGAGGTGGCGGTAGGAGCAGTGGATGGAAAGTTACTACCAGGATAGGGTAATTCTGTGCTAACCTGACCTACCAGGATTCTTGCTGAAGCCTGTCTAGAATGATCAGATAATGACAATACCTGGAGGATTGTGGGGAATGAGGAATTTGATTAGATATCGAGAGGGGGAGGATTCTGGCTAAACTGACGGGATTCTTGCTAAAACTGGGTTCTTAGAGGACATGCCCAAGGATGGGGCTCCATCAGGCTTAGAGGAGCTGGACTAAAGTTTAGTCAAGAAGAGAGTCTTTATCACCTCTAACAGCGATGATCTCTGGGGGAAGTTGTGGGATGGTGCAGAGGTAAGGGAAAGGCTTTTAATTTTTATGCCCTACATTTTTATTAGACTTTTATACATAGAGAATCATATCATTAAATGCATTTATATTACTTTTTTTTTTTTAACATTTATTCATTTTTGAGAGAGCACAAGCAGGGGAGGGGCAGAGAGAGAGGGAGACACAGAATCCGAAGCAGGCTCCAGGCTCTGAGCTGTAAGCACAGAGCCTGACGTGGGGCTCGAACACATGAATTGTGAGGTCATGACCCGAGCCGAAGTCGGAGGCTTAACCGAATGAGCCACCCAGGCGCCTCTATATCATTAAATATTTTTAAAGAAGTATTTTGGTAGAGAATTGTGATGTGTTTTCAAGTGGATATATTTTTCTTAGTTTCTTATACTTTAATTAAAAGTAGTAGGAAACAAAAAAGTAGTACAACATCCAGTATGCAAACTTGGAAAACTTCTGCATGTCTTTACTCATTGAGAGCTACATCTGTTTTAAGAAATAATCAGATTTTTTTTCTTTTTCATTGTATTATTTTTAGAAATAAAATTCAAATGAAGTCTTAAATTAATATGACAGATATCTTGTAACTAATAGCCTGTGTTGTGTTTAATACTAGAAATATGTATTTGGGTTTTTTTAGTATTTATTTTCGAGAGAGCATGCAGCGGGGGGAGGGCCAGAGAGAGAGGGAGACAGAATCTGAAGCAGGCTCCTCACTGTCAGCAGAGCCCGACACGGGGCTCAAACTCATGAACCTGAGGTCATGACCTGAGCTGAAGTCTGACACTTAACCAGCTGAGTCACCCAGACACCCCTAATACTAGAAATATATATTTGAATGTTTTGTTTCACTTACTGAGAACTTTGTTTTGATTTTGAGCATAATGGAACATCATTTGAGTCACTCATTGTTTCATTTTTCATAGCAGTGAGCACATTTTTAACTACCTGATTTAACAGTGCCGACTCGCATAAATGAAGGGTTGGAAATCCAATTTGGAAAAGAATTCTTCATTGCATAGTTACTGGAAAACTTATTGCTAGTAAACTCTTCGCCAGGTGATACAATAAAAAACAAAACAAAACAAAACTGGGTGTTGTGACCATGGTACTAATTCTTCTGGAACAGGTTCTTTTGCCTGTGAACCAGTTTTTCAGTGCCCTTTCTTTCTACTAACTACCACAGTGTCTTTGTGCACATAGTGCACCATGATGTCATCTGGCCTTCCTTTGGGTCCAGTACAATTGTAAACACAAGCACCAATGCTAAAACATGTTCCATAGAAAAGTGGCCATTTAGATGTTTTAGGACCAGCCGTTGTATCAGGTAGAACTTTCTGTGATGGAAATGTTCTGTTTCGGTGCTGGCATGGTAGCCGCTAGGCACACGGAGCTCTCGAGCCCTTGAAATGTGCAAAGATACTGAGAAACTGAATTTTTAGCGATAATTTTAATTTTAATGGTCACGTGTGGCTAGCGCCTACCATATGGGACAAGAAAGCAGTCAGAAAGGTGTAGTGAGCTTCTCCAAGGGTTTATCTGGGAAGCTGAAGTTTTTATCATGCTGGTCCCGTAAGGTTAAAAAAAAAAATCTTCTGGTAAAGACACTTATTTCAACTTTCCCACTTTTTCTAAAAGAAGAAATAATCTTTCTTACAGGTTTTGTGTGTGAAGCTGTGTGGAAATCTAAAATACAGTCAATCACATCTTTATAGTACAGTGGTGCCCCCTGATGGTAAGCTTTCTTATCACTTTTTTGATTCCTACGCTAAGGTGTTTCCATTTTTCCAAATAAAAGGAGAAATATGGGTTTTGAACAAAAAGGACTTTCTTATGCCCCTCCATGTTCTCCCCGCCCCACCCTTAGTTCAGTTCCTCCCTCTCTGCTGCCATAATGTCTCTGATGTCTTTTGGCAAACTCCCACCCCATCGATCATAGGATTTATCGATGAATTAGAAACAGTTTCTGCCTTGAAGAACTTAACTCTTCACCTGGCAAGACTTTAAGCAGATAATTATAATAAAATGTTATAGAATGCTAGAGAATATGTAAATTGTAGTATAATGAAGGCCCTATAGTAGTGCCTTATTACAGGAATTCAGAGGGTTATGAATTTCATATTTAAGCGTTCCTATAGAATCTTGTATTTTAAAGTTGTTTTTTAAAAACTAAATTTTACCTATTCCTGTATTCCTACTTTTTTTTCCTTAACAGAAATAACCATTAATTATAGACATGGCCTTCCCTTGATAACCCTTACTTTGCCATCCAGAAAAGAGCGTTGTCAATTTGTGGTCAAACCAATGTTATCAACAGTTGGTTCATTCCTTCGGGACCTACAAAATGAAGATAAAGGTGTCAAAACTGCAGCCATCTTGACAACAGGTATATATATATTTTTTCAACTTGTCTTTTTTTCTTCTTCTGAACCATTGTTTTGTTTCTGTTCTAGATAGTTGGTTCTTTAATTCATTATATAATAAATGGTTGACCTTTACTGTGTCCATTTTTGTATATCTGTGATATAAAAAAAATTAACTCTGTTGAATAAAAAATTAATGGGATAAGTTTAGTGTACGTTTTAGTTACTTATTTCATAAACTTAGCCCGAAGGTTTTTTCTGAGAAAATTTTAATGACACAGGCTGCAAATAGAGATAAATGACCAAATTTTCATTTTTATTTTACTGTAGTGTTACATGCTCAGAATAAACTTATTAAAGTGTTAATGATTACTGTTGCGGTTTTGAAAAGGAAATAAATATTCTTCCCTCTCCAAGTTCAGAACCAAATAAGGTATAGATATAGAAGTTGGAAAAATAGAAATTAAGAATTTATTTACTCAACAGATTGAACATCTAATATATGCTAGGTAATGTGCTAGGTGCCAGAGGCAAAGAACAATAGAGATTAAAAACAAAACAAGACAAAAAACACAAAACCTCCTGCTCTTATTGAGGTTGTATTTTAAGAGGAGAAAGAAAAAGGTAAAAAAGTAAAATATGCAGTATGTCAGATAATGAATATTGCCAAGCAAAAGCAGTGCGGGGGACAGTGGTGGGGAGGGAGGTGCTCTCCAGCAGGGGAGCGTAGTGTGGTGGTAGGTGCCCACGAATGGGGGGTGTGGGGGAGTGTGGTGGAGGGGGAGATGCTCACAGAGTGGGGGGCTGTGTGCTGTGGCAGGAGGAGCTTTCAGAGTGTGGGGCTGGGGGGGAGGTATGGGGAGGAGATGCTCTAGGGGAGGTGGGGTTCCGGGGGTGGGGAGGGTGCCCGCTAAGTCACCCTGGAGGGAAGACCTGGAAGGGAAGAGGGAGCTGTGTAGATGGGGGAAGTTTGGCTGGCCGAGGCCCCGTTGTGGGAGCCAGCCTCACTGTGACTGCAAAGGAGGCAGCTGGGTGGAGGTAAGATCAGAGGGACAGGTTAGGGAAAGCTTTTTTATCGGCTGTTGTAAGGACTTTGGATTTAACTGGAAGGGGAGCTTTCTTCCTGATGAAACCAGGATTAGAGAATAAGGTTTTAGTCCTGTGGCCACTGTGACCTAATACTTCATCCCTGAACTAGACTGAACCGTCACGGGAGCCCTGAACACCCATGGACCTTCACTACAGGGCCAGCGCGCCTGCCTTCCTAAGCTCCTGAGAGCAGGCAGGTGTGAGCCCAGTGGGGCACTGAGCACAGTACTCGCCTGGTAGTATGTACCCCGTAAGCACCCCGTGAGTGAATGATACAAGCGAGGTGAAAGCAGTGAGTGACGTGTATACCCTGCTTGTTTCTGAAAAACTAAGTAGCTTCGAAACATAAAACACAAAGGAAAAGACTGGAGATCTTGGAGAAAAATGTCTCTTTGGACTGAGTGAAAACACTCTATTGGGGTTTAAATCGATATTTGCCCAAGAATAGGTGAGAAATGCAAGGCTGCATCATTAGCCCCTTCAAAGTGTTTTTTTTTTGCATCAGTCTTTTGCTGTTCCTGTATTAGTATAAAGGATAATGTAGTACTTCAACTGAGAAACCATACTCAGGTGATTTCTTTTTATAGTCCTATTTTAAGGAGCAGGTTTGAAGTCATTTAAATGTAAATTTTTAAATGACACTTGCAAAGTCACATAAAATGGTTGGTGCGTTACTGATCTTTAGAAAAAAAAAAAGAGGCTGTGTGGGTGGAATTTGCCTGCATTTAATTTGGGCTTGAAAAGAGTGTTCCAAGCTTGTCACAGTTTTGCCCATAGTGTGGGTTGAATTATTTGGCAATTCCTGGGAAAATGATGTCACCCCAGCTGATGAACAGGAACCCAAACAGCCAAATTCGAGGAACAGACCCAGGTGCAAACTGACTCGCTGCCTTCTAGAACAAAAGAACTACAGAGAGCCAGACTGGAGGCAGACAGCCGGGTTCTTCCCAATTTTACAAGCAGCATTACTGTTGTCATGCATATTAATGTAGCTGAAATAGCTTTGGTTGAATGTAGCCAGGCAAATGCCACGCTAGGAGAAGATACATGTCCTGGACTTTATATCACTTCTATGTGGACTGTTCTAAAGGGAGAAACCCCTACCCAGTGCCAGGTTTTTGCTTTCTTAAACTTGGATTACATTAAAGGTCAAAAATATAATACAAACTAGGCTATATGAGAAGTTATGCAAAGCACGCTGAGGTTAAAATTTTCCAAGAGATTTTTTTTTTTTTTGAATTGTTCCTAGGATATTTGAAATTACTGTTAGAATCTTTCCTACCACTTTCTAACTCCATAAAATAAACTGCACACAAGCAGATGACCCTTTAGGTTTGATTATGTTTATTACCATCCCTAGCACCCCCATCCCCTAGAAGCTTTGCCTCTATTCACCTTTCCCCAGCTAGAACAGCAGGGAGCCCTGTGTGGTAATGGTTGGCAGTGTATTTGGCCACCTAGTTTTAACAAATCAGTCGCCTCTAGTAATTTAAAAGTAGGCTTTTAGGGGCGCCTGGGTGGCTCAGTCGGTTAAGCATCCGACTTCAGCTCAGGTCACGATCTCGCGGCCCGTGAGTTCGAGCCCCGTGTCGGGCTCTGGGCTGATGGCTCAGAGCCTGGAGCCTGCTTCCGATTCTGTGTCTCCCTCTCTCTCTGTCCCTCCCCCATTCATGCTCTGTCTCTCTCTGTCTCAAAAATAAATAAACGTTAAAAAAAAAATTTTAAAAAAAAATAAAAAATAAAAAAAATAAAAAAAAAAGTAGGCTTTTAAATGCTACCTGTGTGCCTTACACATTCCAGTCAGTGGCACAGCTGTATGTAGCAGATAATGGACTCTGGCTGAGCAGAGGAAGGTGTCAGCTCTGGAGATTGGCATTTGACAGAAAGCCAGGCTCAGAAGAAGGCAGGAACCGAGGGAGGATGTGAGCAAAATCCAAGTTAGCCTAAGATCCACCTGATGGGCTCCACTCATCTGCACCCCCACCCCCATGACACCTCCAGTGCTCTGGCTTTGCTGTGAAGAGTTCCCATCTCCCCTGAATCTTCACATGACCTTGGCAGAGACAGTCTCTCCAGGAACATCCACCTGGATCCCAGCTTCCCTGACAGTGAGAAAAGGGAGCACCTGCCTGCTCTGGCTGTCTAGTGTACTCAGAGGTAGAGCAAGAAGGGAGGATTCCCACCCCCCACCCCATGGGAACAGTATTGGGTATTAGCCTCCCAAAAAGAAAATGTCCACTACTGTATTGTAAGGACCTGGGTTAGTATTTTTCTATATGTTGGGAAATGGTTCTTATGTTCTAAAACAAGGACGTAATTTGCTTTGTGTATTTTCTTTCAGATGGCCGTGAAATTCCAGCTACCACTTTAATGGAAATTTTGCTAATGAATGATTTTAAACTTGTCATTAACAAAATAACATATGATGTTCAGTGCCCTAAGAAAGGTAAGAAACACGACTGTGCAACTGTCTTAACATTTCCCTTTAGTGGTGGGACTTTTACAGGGAGTAAGCCTAAGAATCTTTTAAATTAACCAAATGACCAAGAAGGCTTTGGAGAACTGATGCCTAAGGTTTTCTAGCAGGGGTATGAATGATGAGTAGAAGTTGCCCAGCAGGGCTTAACTCTTTTTTTAAAAAAAGAGACTTGTTTTTGTTTTTTGTTTTGTTTTTTTTTTTTTTTTAGAGTAGTTTTAGGTTTGTCAGCAAGATTGAGCAGATTAGTGTACAGTTCCCATATTCTCTCTGTCCCCTGCCCCATAGCCCTCCCCACTATCAAGCACCAGAGTGGTATATTTGTTATAGTCTATGAGCCTACACCGGCCCATCATTATTACTCAAAGTTCATAGTTGACATTAGGGGTCACTCTTGGGTTTTGAAAAATGTATAATGACATATATCCACTATTATAGTCTCATCTAGAGTAATTCCACTACCCAAAGTCCTCCGTGATCTGCCTGTTCATCCCTCCCTCCCCCCTAACCTCTGGCAACCAGTAATCTTTTTACTGTCTCCATAGTTTTGTCTTTTTTTTTAGAATGTTCTGTAGTGGGTATCATATAGTTTATAGCATTTGCAAGTTTTTGTGTGTACATAAGTTTTCAGTTCATTTGGGTAAACAGCAAGAAACATGATTGCTGGATTGTATGTTAAGAGTATGTTTAGTTTTGTAAGAAACTGACAAACTTTCTTCTAAAATGGCTGTACCGTTTTGCATGCCCATCCAGCAGTGAGTTCCTGCTGTTCACATCCGTGACAACCTTTATGGTTGTCAGTGTCTGGGTTTTGGCCATTCTCCTGGGTGTGTAATGATGGTAGCTTATATTTTTAACTTGATTTGCCTAATGGCATATGATTTCACATGCTTACTGTATTCTCTGGTGAGGTGTCTGTTCAAGTCTTTGGCCCATTTTTAAAGCAGGTTGTCCATTTTTTAAATTGTTGATTTAAGACTGCTTTGCATATTTTGGGTAACAATTCATTAGCAGATCTCTCTTTTGCAAATATTTTTTCCCCAGCCTGTAGCTTGTCTTCTCATTCTCTTGGCATTGTCTTTTGTAGGGCAGAAGTTTTAATTTAATGAAGTCCAGTGTATCATTTATTTCTTTTATGGTTTGTGCCTTTGGTACATGTAAAAAGTCATCATTATACCCAGAGGCATCTAGGTTTTTCCCAATGTTCTAGGAGTTGTATAGTTTTGCATTTTGAATTAATTTTTGTGAAGGGTATAAGGTCTGAATCTAGATTCTTTTTGTTTTTGCATGTGAATGTCTAGTTCTTCCAGCACCATTTGTTGAAAAGACTGCCTTTGCTCTATCGTATTGCCTTTGCTCCATCGTATTGCCTTTGCTCCTTGGTCAGAGATCAGTTGACTATATTTCTGTGTGTCTGTTTCTGGGCTCTATATTTGATTCCATTGATCTGTTTGTTCTTTTACCAATACCATGCTGTCTTGACTCCTGTAGCTTTATAGTAAGCCTTGGAATCGAGGAGTGTCAGTTCTCTGATTTTATTCTTCTTCCATACCAAGTTGGCCATTCTCGGTCTTCTGACCTTAGAATCAGTTTGTTGGTATCCACAAAATATCTTGCTGAGATCTTGATTGGGACTGTGTTGAATGTGTAGATGAAGTTGGGAAGAACTAATATCGTGTCAGTATGGAGTCCTACTTCCTGTGAATGTGGAATAGGTCTTGATTTATTAAATCCTTCTTTGATGTCTTTCACGAGAGTTTTACAGTTTTCCTCATAAAGATTTTGATCATAACTTGTTACGTTTATACCTAAGTATTTCAGTTTTTTAGGTGCTGATGTAAATGGTAATGTGTTTTTAATTTCCAGATTCCATTTGTTGATGTATGATAAAGTGATTGACTTTTATATCATAACCTTGTATCCTGCAGCTTTGCTATAATTGCTTTTTAGATCCAGCGGTTTTGTTTTGTCGATTCTTTCAGATTTTCTATGTAGACTATCAGGTCATCTGCAAACAAAGACACTTTTATTTCTTCACAATCTGTTCATCTTTTATATCCTTTTTTTATTTACTTGCATTAGCAAGAACTTACAGTGTGATTTTGAAAAGAGTAGTGAGAGGAGACCCTTTGCTTTTTTCCTGATCTTATCAGAAAAGCTTCAAGTCTCTCACCAATAAATATGATGTTAGATGTTTTTATCAAGTTGAGGAAGTCTCCCTCTATTCCTACTTTGCTAGGGTTTTCATCATGAATAGGAATTGGATTTTGTCAAATGCTTTTCTGCATTTACTGGTATGACCATGTGACTTTAGCTTATTGGTGTGATGGATTGCTTTAATTGAAAAGTTGAACCAACTTTCCATTTCTGTAATAAATCCCATTTGATCATGGTGTATAATTGTTTTTATACATTGTTGGATTCAACTTAATATTTTGTTGAGGATTTTTGCATCTTTGTTTATGAGCGATATTGGTCTTTAATGTTCTTGTAATGTCTTTGTTCGATTTTTGCATTAGGGTAATTGCCACATGGAATGAGTTAGGAATTATTCCCTCTGCTTCTATCTTCTGGAAAGGATTGTAGAGGATTAGTATAATTTCTTACTTAAATGTTGAGTAGAATTTGAGTAGAATTCACCAGTGAACCTATCTGGGCCTAGTGCTTTGCATTTTTAAAGGTTATTATTGATTCAGTTTTAAAATAGATACAGGTCTATTCAGATTGTCTCGTAGTTCTTGTGTGTGTTTTGGCAGATTGTGTCTTTCAGCGAATGGGTCCATTTAATCTGGGTTATTAAATTTGCAAGCAAGGAGTTATTCAGTTTCCTTTATTATCCTTTGAATGTTCCTGGGATCCATAATGATGTCCTATTTTTCATTTCTGATATTAGTAATTTGTGTCTTTTTTTTTTTTGTTGGCCTGGCTAGGATTTTATCAAATTTATTGGTTTCTTCAAAGATAGAGCTTTTAGTTTCATTGATTTTCTTTATTGATTATCTGTTCTCAATTTCATTGATTTCTGCTTTGATTTTTATTTCTTCTGCTTACATTGCATTTCATTTGCTTTTTTTCCAAGTGGAAACTTTGGATTAGTGATTTTAGGTGTTTCTTCTTTTCTAATATATGCATTCAGTGCTATAAATTTCCCTCTGAGTACTGCTTTTTTTCATCCTACAAATTTTGGTAAGTTGTGTTTTCATTTTCATGTAGTTGAAAATATTGTCTAATATTTCTTTATTTTTTCTTGGACCCATGTATTATTTAGAAGTGTGTTAATTGCCAAATATTTTGAGATTTTCTAGCCATCTTTTTGATTTCTATTTGAATTGCGTTGTGGTCTGAGAGCATATATTGTACGATTTATATTTTGCATTTGTTTTGGATGTGGCCCCAAGTGAGGCTTATCTTGGTGAATGTTCAATGTGAGCTTGAGAAGAATGTGTATTTTCTGTTTTAGGATGAAATAGTCTATAGATGTTAATTCTATCTGTATGATTGATAGTACTGTTGAATTTAGCTGTGTCCTTGATGATTTTTTTTGTTGGCTAGATTGCTCCATATCTAATAGGTATTAAAGACTCCCAACTATTACTGGATTTCTTTTCTCCTTGTGGTTCTGTCAGTTTCATATTTTGACACTTTGTTGTTAATTACTAAGCGTTAAGGGTTGCTGGTTTTCTTAGTGACTGTTATGTAATTATGTAATGCCTTTTTTATCCACGACAACTTTCCTTACTCTGAAGTCTGCTGTGTCTGAAATTAACATAGCTAGTCCAGCTTTCTTTTTCCTTTATACATGTATATGTATATATATAAAATTTATATCCTATAATAGTTTCATTTAAATATATATATAAAATTTGTATACTATAATATATATTAGTTTCAGGTGTACAGCGTAATGATTTAGTATTATATATATTGCAAAATGATCACTGTAACAAGTCTAAGTTAATATCCATCCATACACCGTTGTTGTTTTTCTTCCAGCTTGCTTTTGATTAGTGCTAGCATGATATATCTTCCTTCCTCCTTTTACTTTTAATCTATACGTGTCTTTGGGTCGCCTGGGTGGCTCAGTTGGTTGGGCGTCTGACTTCGGCTCAGGTCATGATCTCCCCATCCGTGAATTCGAGCGCCGCGTCAGGGTCTGTGCTGACAGCTCAGAGACTGAAGCCTGCTTCAGATTCTGTGTCTGCCTCTCTCTCTGCCCCTTCCCCACTCGCACTCTGTCTCTCTTTCTCGAAAAAAGAAACAGAAAAAAGAAATACGTGTCTTTATATTTAAAGAGGATTTCTTGTAGACAACCTGTAGTTGGGCCTTTGTTTTTGTTTTTAAAAAAATTTTTTAGGGGCGCCTGGGTGGCTCAGTTGGTTAAGTGTCTGACTTCAGCTCAGGTCATGATCTCGTGGTTTGTGGGTTTGAGCCCTGCGTTGGGCTCTGTGCTGACAGCTCAGAGCCTGGAGCCTGCTTCTCCTTCTCTCTCTGCCCCTCCCCCACTCATGCTGTGTTTCTCTCTCTCAAAATAAACATTAAAAAAAAGTTTCAATTTAAAAAAATGTTTATTTAATGTTTGTTCATTTTGAGAGAGAGAGAATACGCACGTGAGTGGGGGAGGGAGAGAGGGAGAGAGAGCGAATCCCAAGCAGGATCCGTGTTGTTAGCGCAGAGCCCAATAAGGGGCTTAATCCCAGGACTGTGAGATCATGACTTGAGCCACAGTCAAGAGTCAGACGCTTAATGGACTGAGCCACCCAGGTGCCCCAGGCCTTGTTTTTTAATCTAGTCAAATCTGTGTTTTAACTGGTGATTTAACCCATTGATATTTAAAAGTGATTATTGCTATATTTGATTAATATCTGTCATATTTTTATTGTCTATTTTTTGACCCTTTTCTTTATTCTTAATTTTGTATTCCAGTCTTTGTCTGCCTTTTGTGGTTTTAAAATTTTCTTTTTTTGAACGTT